AACATTTGAAAAACTTTCTGTTTACACACACACATTTGCATACTGTATGAAGAGACCAAGACTCAAAAATAAATAAAAACTTACGAAATAAATTAGAGCACGGGTAGAGTCAGAGAGACTAGTAATAATAAAATTTGACTACAAAAACTCCACACACAACCACATTCACCTGTCCAATAAGGCAACTACAACAAAGTATTTGTTTGTTTAATAGATTCAAGCAACTTTTTGAGCTTTTCAAATGCATTTTTCATGTTATGTCAAAAAATGTTCAGGGACAACTAAATGAACTACACAACTATTTGAGTTGCCAACGGGGACGACAACACTTACACATACACATACACATATACACATAGGGAAATGCATGCTGGACGGCCCAGAGGTAGTGTTAATAATATAATTCTATATAATTCGGCAACAGCTGTCTATACTAAGCACACACGTAAGCACATGCACACATGTACAAACACAACCAAGCTGCATATGAGCATTCAAGGAGTAAACACTTTAGTGTATATTTGTGCATAAACATTTATGTTTTGTGTATGAGTGCATTTTGTGTTTTGTGTTTCCCTAAGGAATAAGTTTTTATTTTATACTTACACATAAAAAGTGCATAAGGGCACAATAACAATCCTTGATATCCTTTCTACACACTCATCAAATACACATACATATGTACACATATAAACAACCATATGTTATTATTAGTCTGAGAATTTTTGATGGTAATTAAAAAAAAAATCATAGTCATGGTTGCTTAGTGAATTTTGGAAGAAATGAAAACGTGTGGTTTATAATAAAAGGCAACAGAAACATTAAAGACCTCTAATACCTTTTTAAAACTAAGATAAAATGTATATTTACTTCAGTTGAATAAATGGATTTTAATATTTACAAAACGAAAATAAATTCAAAGAATAACAAAAAATTACCTACGATCTCTTAATGAAATTATTATTTTTTTACTATTTTAAAGCAATAAATTGTTAAAAAAAATATTGTTGCATAATTTTTATTAGAAATTGTTATGTTATGATATATAAAATTGGGAAAAGAGTAGAGAATCTTTCCGATTATACTACAATATATATCTCTTAAAAAATTTAAATTCAATAAAATAAATATTTAAAATAATTGTTGCACACCGATTATGCAAAAAAAAGCTTAAAAATAGTAATGACAACTTATTAAGCAATTCTCTCACAATTTCTTAAATGAATTAAATTAATTAAAGATAAAGCTTTTGATTATTACGGGAAGCGGTAGGAGTGGAGGATCATACGCAGGTCTACTAGCGAAGAAAAGTTTTTACACGCCATAAAAAAATTAAATCATATTTAGAATATGAACCAAATAATTTCTATATATTATTATTTCACTTAAATCTTATAATATTGAAATCAAGCGATAATCCATTAAATGCATACGAAAAGTAAAAGATAACCCTATTTACAAGTTTACCGTAGTTGAAGAATTTCGAGTTAATCACATTACCGTCCATGAGTTAATTGTAGAGAAACCGCTTCTTCTTGCCATTATGTCGCCGAAGCGATTTTCTATCGACTTAACTCATCAGCTTGAATTGGCTGTTTTGATATTTTCCAACAAACGGATGGACTTACAATTCATTCTAGGCCGCTCCCGAATAGCCGATAGATTTTTTTATGGAACTTTGATTTTTATATCAGGAATACACTGGGAGGGCTGATACGTCCTAGAAAGGGGCGACCGAATTTGCAAAATTAGTTTTCTATAATTCTTTTGGACGAACCCGGACTCCAGCCTTCCGAATGTTAGTAGTCAATGCTGATCACTCGGCTCTTGACTATTAATTTTTAATTAGAATACCTTTTTAAAATTCATTGCGAAAAATTTATATACATGATCTATGCACATACATATACGTAATCAATCAAACTATTTCCCACACAGTCCAAAGTGATCATTTTGAACTTAAACTTCCTGCTACAATGGCATTCAAACCAACCACAACACAGCAAGTACCAACGCATACACAGCCAACCCATATAAAACCTGTGAAATGTAGTTGAAAGGCGACAAAATCGCTGCACAAATAAAATTAATATTTAAATGATGTGAGAGCACTAGTATGTTGCACTCCTTACCAACAAGTCACAGCGAGTCACAACTCGACCGCAGCAAAGCGAAAGCAAACAGACAGAAGACTTGGGACTGAGACATGAAACCAACAGTAGATACGAGCAAACAAATCAAAAAAGCTCAGCTTCTGAGTCACTCATTTGCAACACTGAATGTTGAACAAATTAAATGAAGAAAACAAGAAAAAATTATATTATAAAATAACAAAAATAGAAATTGTTAAGTAAACAAAGTTTACGCTTATGCCTGTCTACTGTCTGACTAAATACCATCCGACTGTCAGTCAGTCCGTCACTCAACCAGTCAGATAGTGTCACCGCTGTGGACAAACAAAAGTCTGCTTGCTGGTCTTGTCCATTTGAAGTCCGCTGATGTCGGCTACTAGCCAGTACTAACTCCACCACTCGTACTTTGTATGTGAAATTTATTGTATGAGAGTGTGTGCAGACGTGGCTGTGTTTGAATAGTGGCCATGTGAAGTGTTGTGCATTCGTTTGCGCATGAATTAACTTTATTTGCTTTGAGTAAATTAAATAAACTACTCATGGACACATATTATGGAAGGAGTAAAAATCTTCTGCTGCATCGTACAGATAACTCGATTCCTGCTGTGGTGTAAAGAATTTGCTACGAAACTTAAATTAACGTTTCCACAGTTTACTGTAAAATCATTGAAATTGTTGCTAAAAATTTAATTATTCACAATTTCTGTAATCTATTTTGTCATTTAAAAAATATTTCTATGTATTCTAACTATGATCAGTACCACTCCCCTTATCCACTACTGAGCAAGTAATTGAAAGACAAAGTCATAAATTTGCCGCAGAAATGAGATTTCGAAAAAAAAATTCACGAAATGTGTATAGTCCTCTACGTGCCTAAGACTTTAACGTGGAGGAAATTCAAGAATTTCGTTTTTTTAGAGCGAACTTCATCTGCAATGCATCAACTCGACTTAAGGCAGGACTGCGATAAAAAAAAGGCAAACCAACTATAACGTACTAATTTTATCTTCGCCATAAGCTCTTAAATTAGTCTTACGACAATTAAGCAGAATAATATTCTACTGTATCCATAAAGTGACTTTTTTTCTTGTTTGATAAGGTAAAAAGGAGCTCCAGGCTTTGGCTCCAAGCAACAGCAAAAAAAATAAAAATCTACAGAGAATATATATTGTATATATGTGAATGCTCGTTCAATCAATTGGAGTCTATCAATAGATTTGGAAAATTTTGACAATGTTGAGCTATTAAGGCAAAAAAGTTCGAGCGGAGCCAAGTTGAAGGTGAATATGACTGCTATTCCTTGGAATTTACTAAAAACAATTTGAAAACTCTTTGGTATTATTGGGCGGTGGTTTGTCATCTTGATGCTCTTTCTGAGTTTTCTTTCCATAAGTCTGACGTTTTATGGCGAAGCCGCTCTTTCAAACCTCCCAACATATTCTGTTGATCCCGATTCTTTCTGCACATAATGTTACTTCAAATCACCATTAAATACCTGATAGGCTCAGCCTGCCAAGCAAAAAGCAACCGCATTATCAAAGGCTACTCATATTGTAATTCTTGATCCGTTTGAGGTAAGTTCTGACACTTTTTGGCACATATTGGACTGTAGCTCATCCAATACTTAACGAATGTTGATTTTCAAGCCCTCAAAAGCTCAAGATTTATTCTCATAAGCTCCGTCTTTTGTATAGCCTCCCAAGAAATTTCCAATGATGACACATCGCAAAATTTTCGGGCCAATCCACATTGCTAAGAAAATCCACTGTTCTTGTTCAAGCGTACAATCGACGTATGTATCTACAGCGTTGTGAATGGCACAGCTGTCTTCAGTCGTCGTTTGAGCTGAACTTTTTGTAAATGAGAGAGAATGAGAACGTCGAGAAATAGACACATTAGAGTATTCGGCTGCACTTTCACTTACTATGAGGTGGAACCAATTATATGCCCCAAAAGCTGTTCTTAAAGCAGATCACGTCACGTCAGATCATTTTTATAGTAGATTACAATGATTTTAGCGCAGTTTGCCATACCTACCTTACTCTTAACTAAAACAAAGCATGTTAAGCTTGACAGTTCAGTTTGACAACTGTCAAAATGCAGCTCTATACTTTTGAAACCACGAAACACCTTTGACCGAAAAACGAAATTGGATTTCAACATGCAAAGCACTTAGATCTGTCCTACAGAAACAACTCTTTGTCCACCTTCAGAATGAGGTTAATAGAAGTGTTAAATTTACACGCCAAAATCTCAGCTATGTGCACACAAGCACCCTCATACACACACATGCACACACACATACCTAGAAGTCAACACTCTTGCCAATTCATCTATGTCAGTCGAATAGAAAGACAGAAGCTTTTCTGCTTCGCCACTTATCCATTTACACTTTATCATACCTGCATTGATCGGAGTGCATAGAATAAAATACAATACTAAACAAAACTAAACTATTGAAGATAAAGCCAAAGTAGAATTGCCAAATGAAACTGTCACAATCAAATTGAACTGTCAGTGTGAATGAGATGCGCAGAGGACTTGCATAAGGTATTTATTTGAGGGAAAAGATTAAAACGTTGACAATGAATTGCGAACGAAAAGCGGTGCATTCGTTCATATATAAGTGTGCGCGCAGGTGTGTATATTTATTTAAGAAGATATGCAAATTTTTGTTTAAATTCAATACAAAATGCACTCAGCTTAAGTAGGATTACTGTGACACTTTCCATTAGCAATAACTCTTTCACTACAATACGCTATTATATATTAATATATATATTTATATATTGTATATATGAGTACGTTATATACACATAACTAGCTGGCCTAATTTGATAAATTTTTCTCCCTCTTTGTACTTCACAGCGCGATGTTATTAACTTGGAACCCACACGTGATGATGTCGTCCAATGCGTCTCCAAAGGCAAGAGCCAGGTAAGCTAAATCTGCACGCGCACCAGCAGATATTTCAATATTTCTTACATCCTTTCCCTTTCTCATGGATTTACTTTAATATCATTATTTCTTTTCCATTTTTTTTTTTTGTATCATCTGGTAGCATTGAATAAGACTACTGCTGCCGCGGTTCAATTGAAATTATTGTAAAGCCTCTCAATGTTTGATTATATAACAAAATCCACTTTTCTGTCATTTCCCAAACGTATGGTTGCCGTAACGCACTTAATGTCAGCTACCACCTGCTTGGCTGTAACTCATACACATGCGCCTGAGTACGCTTGTGTGTAGTCAATCAATTCATAACCAAATCATTCTTCTTTTTTTAACCCATTTATCCCTTTATTTTAATTCCATGGATATGAGAGTGAGCATTTTGTCTCTCACAAAGGTCTACTCTCAGCTTCAGACCTTTGGTCCAACGCTTTTTACTTCCGCCAAATAATATGTTTTCTCAAAACCTGCAAACTAGCTCATATTTCAGTGATAAACACTTTTTTGGTACGAATCCTTTACCGTCAGACTTTACTTTATTTTACTTTCAGAGAAGAATGAGCCGGAGGAACAGTCTGCTGATCCATTCTCCTCCTCTTAACCAATGTGGCCAAGAGCTTTCCAAATTAAAACTTGGCCAAGATATTTTGGTCAACTGATTCACAAACACACTGACATGTTTATTCTACAGTTATTGGTATGGTGTAATGGATTAGTCTTTCTTCTACGGTACCAAAATCTAGTTAGGTGCAGGAAATTTTTTTTGGCGACCTCACCATTCAGCGTAACTTGTGCTGGTACGACCAGTAAGAGACTCACATTTCAATAGTCGCTGATTTATCAAGCTGCCCTCGCTCATACATACACGTATTTTAGGAGTGAAAAACTCCAGTGAAACGCTCAATATTATTATTATTAGTTTTTATTGATTCTCAAGCTCTGGCAACCATAACTGTATCGTCCTTACAACCATTTAGTTTGTTATATATATATTACAACAATAATTAATTAATTTACTTACGTTCTTAAAAAATAGGAACCATTCGTAGCAACATTCTCAAAAGAAAGAAATTTCATGTCCTAAGTTGAAATAACACCATCCCGAGAAGATGTTTCCGATGTTGCGGTGGTAACACCCTGTACTCACTCGCATGCGATTGTGTGCCACATGTAGATTCTTAACCATCTAAAAGTGAATCCCGTCAAATAATCGCTTGTGCGCATCGCTTCATTGCGGCCAAATTCAATTTTTGCTACTTTACCAAAGCTTCTGCACACGGGAAGTAAGCAAAACAAATATACATTTACCGTAATACTTAAGCGTACGCACACATACGAGTACACGCTCATATTCAAGTGCTTGAACATGTGTGTGAGAGCGTTAGTGAAGCGCTACTGCGATTGCTTGCGTGCATTTCAAGTCAATTTAGTGCATATATCCTTTGAGAACAGTTAGTTGGTTGCATAAGCACACACACGCTCATATACGGGTATGTATAGTATGTATAAGATAAATCCTCTGTTGACTTTTTATTTTTTTCCGTTCGCCAACTCCCCCAACTTTTAAGCTCAAAGCAAAAATGTTCATGGGTGGCTACCAGCGATTTGATTGATTTTTATATCATCTTCAGCGTGTGGCAAATGCGTTCGTAATAGAGCAATTCCTCTTCACACACGCGCACGCACATACCCGTACATAGCATGTGGCATGCTGCATTTAACGGGGCGCCATTGCGGTTGCTGCTGTTAGAACTATCATACACACACACGCGTACAAACTTGCCAATGCGAAATCTCGTCAACTTATTTGTGGCTTTCAATTTGTGCGCTCACTCATATTGTGAACGCTCACTCCGTTAGCTGCTGCTGCTGCTGCTGCTGTTGTTGGCATCGCAATATTGCGTGCCACAGCCCCAAATTGACAGTGCAACATCTTGCGATTTTCCTCACATTTCTTCAAAGATGTTGTTTCAGATTTTTTCCTTTTTTTCTTCTGTAGCCTTCAACCTTTGCTCGGTATTCTATTCAATTGCGAAAAGGGATTATTGTGCGAAATATTGCAGAAAAAATTGTTGTTGCTTTCTTTTTACCCACTCTTTATGGTATTTACTTATATATTTATATTCTATTTATTTTTCATTTTTTCATTTGCCACGCATATCTTCTTTGCATTCACATCGCTTCGTCAGCGCAAATCTTGCAATATTTGCTACTTTGCAATGTTGCAACATAATTTGCGGCTTGCAATTTTGTAATGAGCACCTCGCCTTGTAAATAAATTGATTGGAGTATTTTTTTCTTTTCCTTTTTTCGAAAGCAAACTTCTTCCATTTTATATTAATGATCGAGAGGATACAATGCGCGCTTATAAATGACTATACAAGCGTATTTTCAATTCGCTCCAAGTCGTTGTATACTTGCAACATTTATATAACTAAATTACAAATTGCATACGCAACGTGGAAAAGAAATATTTAAAACTAAGTAAGGCAATACTCAGCAAATCATCACAATATTTAAACTTTTAATGGCTTTAGAAAGGGTATTTTGGAAAAACTTCACTTTTTGTGAGGACGGCCTTAAAGCTTGCATCTCATTTTATACCCTTGATTAAGCTAGTTTTTACCCTCTGACTTCTTGTGATGTTGGCTAGCTCAGTGGATATCTTTACCGCATAGGCATCCACCTGAAAAATATTGTCATACTCTGAAGGATTTAAAGATTATCTGAGATCTAATTCATCAGAACATATTACAAGCCCTACCTCTCACTAATGTTGAATCCGTCTGCCCAGATTTAGTATGACTCGAAACGTCGTTCCTAAGCGTGAGGGTAAGTGGTCTCTAGCGGAGATTCACATAAGACCACCAATCCCACTGCAATAATTTTCCTGTAGAGTTCAGCGGTCCACTAAACCAAAGCGCTCTAGCCAAATTATAGCACCATACAGCACATAGAATCTAGCACAAATCTGTTCAAACTTATGACTTGGAAGTCTCCACGCACAGAACTTTTGCATTCTTTTCCGCTTGATTCACATTTAGGTCTAAGTTAACCTAAATTTCTCTCTAAATTTATCAAAAAGAAGTCTGGATACATTCCACATCGCAGATAAATAGACCTTTTATCTGTATTAGGCTGGACAGTTTCCAGACTATTCACGCTTGTTTCATTGAAGACATTGTTGTGGATCATTCAGCAATTATGTCCAGAAAGAAAGCCAGTGTGTATTCCTTAGACAACAGAGTTTTTCTGTATTTCAGTTTAACTAAATAAATATGAAATGTAGTCTCAGAGCATCAACCATTCTTATACATTGGTGTTACGTTTTTGACATTTTAAAGGACAGAAGCTTATGTATGTATTGTATTATAGATCTGCATTCAGTCGAATAGAGACGACGAATACACCGCTCAATTCTCTCCAAAAGCCAGGCATATAGTTAAACCTTAAATTTTAGATTTGAACAACTTTTAACGAATAAATCTTAAAACGTTTTTGTGCACTGTCCGTACGCCTAATTCGTAATTTTTTTATCAGTCTTGCACAAAAATTTGTTAACTTTTCCTTATTCCCAGCTGCCCAGCAATGCATTTAAATTAAAGGCAATACACATGCATACATGTGTAGAGAGATATATACGTGTATATATTTCGAAAGCAGCAAACAAATCGAACAACTTGTCATAATTTGAAAAATAATAATTTAAAATAAAAAATGCTTATGCAAATGTTGGTATTCTATACCCAGTGCCTGTATTTGTTAACTTCATTGGAAATAAAAAAAAATCGAAATAAAAAAAAATTGTGTGAAATATTATTCGTGTGTTCAAAAAAAATATATTTTGCACAAAAGGTAAAATGACAAAATCACAAAAATTTATTTTAAATATTTTTAATGGGAAAAATTCTGTTCGCTTTGGTTGCTGCCTGCATGAATTATGCGTTGGGTATAAAAATATAAAAAATTGCTTTCTTTTTCATTATGCATGTGCAATCAAGCAACACATCTGCAACAGCTGTGCGACACAACAATTGGAAGCGTGCAATTTATTATTTTTATTTATTTTTATTTGTTGCGTGCAGCAATTTTGTGGCGATAAGTGACAGGCGTAAAAAGTAAAGAAAAACGGCAAAATATGAGTTTGCTGTGAAAATAATAAAATATTGCCGAGTAAAAAGTTTCGTTATTATTCTCACTCAACATTTAGCATTGCAATGTACTTAATGAAGTCTCATATGTACGAATATATGTATGTAAAGAAAAAAAAACAAATTATGCACAAAAACAACCTTGTTATGGATATTTCACTGATTTTGTAACCTACAATTTATATCTTTTTCTTCTCTTTCTGCTTGTCTTACAGATTTTCGATTGCAAGAATCACATCCGTGTCATTCAGTCAATACAAAACGGCGACCGGCTTTACGTTTGCGGCACACATGCACACAATCCCAAGGATTATGTCATTTACGTAAGTATCAATGCAAGAAATGAATAAAATGTTTTAGAGAAAAAAACAAAAACGATTCCATAACCAAAGGACATATGTAAGCACATATGTTTATTAAGAAGAAAAGGGCAGTGAAAAAAATAATGGAAAAATGTTGAACAGCACCAGAGAAGCGCGAGAAACATATGTTTTGTTTCCACACTCACACACACACATGTGCTCCTTAGAAAATGCGAACGATAAAATTTATTTTTTCTATTTCTAACTAAATGCAGCAGTCATACGCATAGCTTAAAACGTTTCCTTTTGCTTGCACTTACATACTTTTTTTCTTTCTTGGCCAAAGCAACTTCTTTGCCTGTCAATTTGATTCGGACCAGATTGCATTTATCGCAGTAAACTTAAGAAAAATGTTTTTTTTTTTTGTCTCAAAATGAATCCTGAGCGTTTTTTATTTAATTTAATTTCATTTCATTTTCATTTCATTTTTTTTTTTTTTTAAATCCTTCAAAAACATATTACTACTGACTCACATAAAGCGACTTTTTATTGAATATATTGTTATCTTGAAAGCTTAGCATATAGGCATGTGTATGCATTATTATGTTTGAATCAAATTTGATAGAAATAAATAAAAAATGTAAATGGTACAAATACGTTACCTCTCTTTTGACACCTATTTTTATGAGCATTTATCGTAGTAACTACTTTCATATAAATAGGAAGAGCAAAGGTGCTGGACACGTTTCGATCAAAATTTACGCATTTTGAAGTACATTTTTAAGAAGAAATATAAAATCAAATAAGTCAATAAATTAAACCAATACAAAATATAAATATTTCTCATTAAAATAGTTAGTTTTTCAGAAAACTACCCATATCTTATTATCCAATATTTTTTTAATAATTTTTTGAGAGAGAAAATATTATTTTTAGTTCGAATTGTAGTTTAATGTGGCACTCCTGAATTATAGCATTTTTTAGCAAAATTATTTCCTATGATTCTAGTCAAATCTCACACACTTACCACGCTCCGAATATGTGATTGGCGTCGGTTCGGGTATTGCAAAGTGTCCTTACGATCCCTTGGATAATTCCACTGCTATTTATGTTGAAGAAGGAAACCCAGAAGATTTGCCAGGATTGGTAAGTAAAATTAAATACATTAAACTATTGGTATAGTAAATATTTAGTGTTTTAGTATTTTTAGTATAATTTTTCTTTTATATTAAATTTATTCCAATCAATACCATACAAATTATTATCTACACCTATGATAAGTTAAATGGCAAAAACTATGCTTAATTGTTCCATAAATGATTTTTTTATGTTACGAGACTATGTCTTCAATACCTTTCACATATCATTACAGTATTTAACCCTTTTACATTTTGAGCTTACTAAAAGTTATGTTTATATGTATATTTACCTTCAAATCTAAATCTAAATCTACATAAAGAGTTTGTAAATATTATCAGTTCATAAACTCCAACATTTTTCGTAAATTCTTCTCTTCCCTGTCTCATAGTATTCGGGCACTAATGCGGAATTCACAAAAGCAGATACAGTTATCTTCCGTACGGATTTGTATAATACAACAGCAAAACGTTTGGAGTACAAATTTAAGCGTACACTCAAATATGACTCCAAATGGTTGGACAGTGAGTAGAGCAAAAATTAATTAATTAAAAATTTAAAGTTTTGGAAAAGTTTTCCATAAATGTTTTTTGAGTAAGAAAATATTTTGTATATTTTTTTAACAGAAAACCTTTTAGGGAAAACTCTTCTTATTATTAAACTAATTTTAGTAATAAATATAAATATAATTATAAATAATGTGTTAGTTTAACAATTAAAAATTTATGAGACTTTTTATCAACTCTTCTACAAAGAATTTCGATCTATAAAAAAAGAAACTATCGAAAAATAATTTCTTTCACCAAATACTTTCCAAACTACTCAAACGAACTATTACAATCAATTTCGTCATAATATAAAACTTTGCAGACATTATAGCAACATTCGACACTTGTGCGTCAAATCGGCTTAAAAAACAAAAGATATTAAATTTGCATAACGAATTTCAGAAAATAAAAGAGTGCTGATGGATTGAAATGAAAACATAACGCAGACTCAACAACAAAGAAATGAAATATTTCGCAATTTAAATTTGTTTTCACATCTTATTCGCAAGCAAGCAAAAACATTTGTTTTAAATTTTTTTTATGAAAATTTCGTTTCAACGCCATGAAAGTGACTTCTAAAGAAAATCCAATAAATTTTCTATATTTTGGTGATAATTAAATTTGTTTAACGCAATAAACGCACACAAAGAGCAGGGAATAAAGGGAAACTTAAGAGGGCAATAGCACTCGTCTTCGTCGCTGTGTCGAAAGAATGATAATGAAAAAGCTTCTTGTGGACAATTTTTGCTCAAAATTAATTTTTCCTATTATTATGTTCATACATATATATATTTCGACTGCCACAATAGCCAACGGGTTAGCAATGCGTATAGACATTTCGAAGGCAAAGGTTCGACCAACATCTAAATTGTGGAAAATTAATTTTTCTTAGGTTTAGTATAAACTGAAGCTCCCTTCATTTGTTGAAAAGACACAAGACCACAAATTAGAGCAGGAGCGCGGCCGAAAATAGCGGTTACAAAGAGCCAATTGTATATATATATATAATATGAACGATTATATGTAAATATCTTATTGCAGTAAATTTTAAAATTTATTTCTCAATAAGTAACAAAATTTTGCTGAACTATATCACTTAAAAATGGTTCATTGAATTTCAGATAGCCTTCAATTGATTCAAAATCGTGATGTAGTGTGTGGAAGTTTTGTTGAAATATGTGCGCAGAAGTCCAATGTATGTTTCAGTTTCAGTTTCAGTTTCATGAAATTAGTTGATGTTTTATGATTTTTCAATAGACACACACAATGTTACTAGACATACTACAACATTTTTAGCTTAATACAATGAGAATCACCCTTTTACCATTGGTGATTAAAAGTCAGCTTTTCCTCACCTTATAGATCAACTTCAGTGTACCAAACGACGGGCACGGATTTCGTAATATAAAAAAAGACCAGAAAAAGAACAATTTCCACCCACAATCAGCTTTTATCGACTCAGCGACTAAGAGCTTGAATTACCCTTGTATTTTCACCTATCCAAGTCGCAAAACAAAACCAAAATATTAACACTTAATAATGTTTAAATACATTAAAAACCAAGGAGCGTAGTAAAATTCTATTTGCTTACATGCATATATACATCTATGTATGACCAAAAAATACAAGAGCATAAATTTCATTAAATCGCAAATTTTCACAACACCAAGGAAACTGCCAAGGTACCTTCTATACCCATTGCTTTTCCTGCCAACATGAGAAGCGACAAAATAAGGAGCCGCCAACGCACAGCGCCACAGCCAGAAGCAGGCAAGCAAGTTTTTGCTTATCACGCTCACATACCTACGCTTACTGCTCCACGGCTCCTTATTTTCTTCGACTCGTTTTTTATTTGAAAACATTTTCGTAGGCTCTTGTGTGCTCATACTTGGAGGCACTCTAAAGCTGCTAATACAATTAAAGTCTTTTCAGTTCAGCTTGAAAATTAATTAAAACTTGTATTGCAGCAGATTAAAATGAAAAGGCAGCACCACTTATTGAAAGGGGCAGAGCGTGGAGACTTGAAGGGTTCTGTGTGTATATGTAAATATGTGTAGTCTCATATAAATATTATGTACCCAGCGAAGAAAGCCTCCTTGCCGTGTTTATGAAATGTAAATGGTCAAAATCTTATTAGTTTCACGTTGAATGGAGTTGAAGCGAATTTTGTTAGCAATTATGGAGATAAATAGTGAAATATAAAAGCGAATATTAAATAGAAAGCTTGCTTAAGCGCAATTGAACAAGATAAATAAATTTCATTAATGCGAACCACTAGCTCACTTATCGGGGAAAGGGCTCTCTACCAAAGAAGGAAATAAAAATGTCAAAAAAATTCGTTTATTACTACTTTAATTTTATTATTTACCTAATTTGTTTAGGAAAAAATCCAATGCCTTTCAGCAGAAATGTTTGGAAAATTATTTCCAATATTAAATCTTTAATATAATTTAATACTATGTATATAAATTTTTCATTTTTATTTAACTTATTTTATTTTTTTCTATTTTAAATTATTAATCACTTCTTGCCTCTCGTCGTTTTACCACAGAACCAAATTTCGTTGGCTCCTTTGACATTGGCGAATACGTATATTTCTTTTTCCGTGAAACTGCCGTGGAGTACATTAATTGTGGCAAAGCCGTCTATTCACGTATTGCCCGCGTTTGTAAAAAGGATATTGGCGGCAAAAACCTACTCGCACACAACTGGGCCACCTATTTGAAGGCGCGTTTGAACTGCAGCATCTCCGGTGAATTTCCATTCTATTTCAATGAAATACAATCCGTTTACCAATTGCCCTCGGATAAGTCCCGCTTCTATGCGACTTTCACGACCAGCACGAATGGCTTAATCGGTTCGGCGGTGTGCAGTTTTCACATTAACGAAGTACAAGCGGCTTTCAATGGTGAGTAGTATAAAGGAGTGAGGAAATAATATGAAAAAAAAAAATTCTTGAAATTAACAGAGGTGCACACATTAGCGGCTTAAGTGGCTTATAATTCAATTAATATTTGCTTTTAATTGTTATTTTATTTTTTCTACGTTTTAAATTCTAACAGGTATTAAACAAGTAAACAAAGATATATCCTTTATCAGCTTACATTATAGTATTTGAATTCCTGCCTTTATTAGTTTGAATTTAATACTGTAAGTTGAGTTCTTCGTGTGCATATGATTTTTTTATCTTTCTTTTCTATCTTCATTTAATTTCGCACACCACAAAATGTATTCAAACTTAAATTTACTTGTAATTTTTTGTTTCGCGTTCAGTAGTGCCTTTTCTTCTGGTTATGGTTTTTTGTTTATTATATATATATTGAAAGTACCATAGAAATTTGTTTTCGTATGCAGTTTTTCGCATAATATTTTCAGATTTACATAGCTTAGATATTCATACAAGCGTTTTATTTCCAATTTTTATATTTTAAGCTCGAAAACCTTTTATATACTCATACAAGTGTGTGTTGTAATGTGTACTGAAAATGAACTTTCGCTCCCTTCAATCCAATATTCACTTGATGTGCACATACTAAAGTAAAGCGATTTACAAGAATGCAGTGCAAAACCCCAAAACATTTACATACAAACTTCCAACATTCATACCAACACAAAAAGCTTTTATTTTTCTGCATTACTCTCCTCTAAATAAGCACATGAGAGTGGAAATAAAAAAGTACACAAGCACATGCATATAGAGAAGAGGAGAAAAGAGGAAATAAGTCGTATTAGAAAATCCATTTTGATGGATTATGAATATCCAGTTGAAGCAGCTAAACTCATCAAACGCTGCGAAAACCAGGACTTGTGTGAGAGTATATCGAACGTTTTGCTAACTTATATGTACACATATCAAAAACTGCAACTTTCCAGCTTGGGCGTTTGGCCTTCTTATTTGTGAAACTACAACGTTATTACTCGTTTGTCTTGTCTTTGCGGTTTTTAGTATGCAGAAAAGTGCTTTTCAATGTTCATTGCTATTTGATCCGCTTGTGTGCATATCAGACAGGAAATAGTGTTATATGTTTGATTGTGTTGATTGAGAGGGTTATAAGTAATTACGACTGTCAGTTTGCATAAGATAAATTGTTTATGTTTTAAATATTTTTGCTATTGTGCCTTAACCTTAACCTTAACCTTAACCTTAACCTCAACCTTAACCCTAACCTTAACCTTAACCTTAACCTTAACCTTAACTTTTACCTTAACATCAACCTAATCCTTAACCTTACGCTTAACCTTAATCTTAACTTTAACATCAACCTTAACCTAATCCTTAACCTTATCCCTAACCTTAATCTTAACTTTAACCTTAGCATTAACCAAAATTTTTACTTTAACCTTAGCCTTAGCCTTAATTTTAACTTTAGCCTTAGCCTTAATTATAACCTTAGCCTTAACCTTATACTTAAACAAAACCGTAACTTTAACATTATCCTTAAACATGACGTAGTTCCTAAACTCAAACCCTATTCTTAACCTTAACTTAAACCTCAAACTTTGCTTTAGTAATTACATTTACTTAACATTAACCTTTTTTTAAACCTTAGTCTTAGCCTAAGTTTTAACCTAACATTAATCCAAGCATTCAACTTTATCTCAGCTTTAATCAAAACCTTTTATTGCATTATCTTTGTACATATGTCTCCCATCTATTATCAAAATATGTATGTGTGCTTTTTCTATAAGTATAACTTAATTTAATCTTCTCCTTCTCTCTCCCGCTCTCCCTGCGTTTTTCAGGCAAATTCAAGGAACAATCATCATCCAATTCAGCTTGGTTACCAGTTTTGAATTCACGTGTTCCCGAACCACGACCTGGTACTTGTGTCAATGATACCTCAAATCTGCCCGACACTGTATTGTACTTTATACGCTCACATCCGCTTATGGATAAAGCTGTGAATCATGAACACAACAATCCAGTCTATTATAAAAGGGATTTGGTATTCACTAAGCTTGTTGTTGACAAGTAAGTTTACTTTGTTTATTCGTTTAATTTTGGGGGAGAGGAAGCTCCATATACTCGATGCACTGTATCTATGTATGTTTATATGTAACGATTTTTATTATACTTTAAAGTACAACATTCATACATTTACCAACATACATGCTTCTGCTTTAAATGCAAAGTAGATTGATAGAGGTCCTGTGTGGTCGGTTAGAATGGACCTTTTTTATTTTTCACAACGCTTTGAGTGCAATTGCTTGTCAAAGCGGTTACAAATAACTTTATTGGCTAAAGGCCGTCCTTGAGTGCTTTAAAGGTATAATTAAAAAATTAAACTTAAAAAAACAACGGAAAACAAAATACTCGTATACGAGTATATCTTTACGAAAAAATAAATATATAATAATATAATGTTTATATTAAATATAATTTAGTCATGCATAAATGAATATTCACCATTTGACTAAAGCACGAAGCATGAATGCAAATTTGTGGCACATCAATTACCGGTAATTACAATTTCAATTAACAACACTTTCTTCTTTTTTTTTTGCTAAATTTCATTAATCTGAATTTTATTAGCATATGAGAGCGTGGCATTAGAGTGGTCGTAAATAAATAATTTTTTCGAAAACCAATAACAAGCTTTTCAAAAAAAATATGGCCTTTTTTGGGAAAAAAAATCGAAGCAACCATAATTTTGTTCAAAAACCTCTTTGTTTATGTACTCGACTAAGTAAATCTAAACGATAAATTACCTAAAAAGATAACCTATTTCATCAATACAAAAATTAAAAAATTAATTCTCTTACAGCAAAAGTACGACTCACTGGATTTTAGTTTTCATTATCAAACAACTCGTGGCAGCCCTACTTTTTCCTCGATGATATCACCTCCACCACCATTTCAATGCAATTTGTTTAAAATTTTCGTTAAATTATTTTTTAATTAAATTTTGGCTCATTTCGGTGTAAATGTGGTATGAAAAAAATGCCGTCGCATGTTTACCGACACTTTTTATTTTTTGTACGCTCTTTTTTGTTTGTCCCATCATGCACACACATACATATATGTATTACATATTGGCGCTTATACATACATATGTGCATGTGTTAAATACTTGAGGTCTTTTTAATGCGGCGCATTGTAGCAAATTGATTTTTAATACGATTTACACTCAAGTGACAATACAATTTTTATTTATATATGAATATACATATGCATATGTGCAAATACGTGTTAAATCCACATATATTTGTATCTATGTGCGTACATGTATGTGTCAGTCATTTGCAATTTTACTCAATTTCACTTTTTGTTTGAGCTCATAACGAACACTTTGACAATTTATGCAAATATTTGTGGCGAACGAAATCAAAAAATCTGAGAGAAAGAGAAAAAAAAGTAAATTAATATCAAAATGCAATTAAATTTTGCTCATAGTTGACAGTTGAAGCGAAAGCTTGTAATTTACTCGAATCAACTGAAATTCAATTAAAACATTTTATTGGCAATTTTATAAGTACTCAACCAATCGAAAACAAAAAAATACATAAATACTTAAAGAAATCTCATGTATTTTCATATTTACATATTTTAACAATTTCGGTGCGCTTTTTCCTTATTTTGATCCTCGAAGTATTAAAACTCTTATGGCTATTTGGGTGAATGCATTTAACACATACACGCCTACGAAAAGTCCTTAAGAAGGCAGCATTAATGGTTTTTAACTGTACTGTACAATTGATTACCTTTTTGGTAGCGCACTCTCCACCGTGGGCTGATTGCTTTAACACATAAAAGAAAACTAATTAAATTGAAATAAATTAAAAAAGTAATAGGGGAATTCAACAAAAAGTATAACAAAATAAAACGAAATAATCTAAAACAAAGCAAAATAAAATAAAGTGAAATAAATAAAATAAGTTAAAAATGAATAAATAAAACAAAAAAAAACAAAGGATGTAAAATAAAAAAATAAAGTGAAATAAAATTAAATTAAAATAAATTAAACCAAAATAAAATAAGTTTAAACTAATTTAAAGAAAAATTGAAAAATAAATCAAACTACAATAATATAAAATAAAATAAAATAAACAAAAATAAAATAAAATAAAATAAAATAAAATAAAATAAAATAAAATAAAATAAAATAAAATAAAATAAAATAAAATAAAATAAAATAAAATAAAATAAAATAAAATAAAATAAAATAAAATAAAATAAAATAAAATAAAATAAAGAAATGTGAAATAAGATAAGTTAAAAAACAATGATTTGAACAAAAATATAAAATAAAATAAAAAATAAAATGCATACAAAAATCACTGCATGTAAAGTACTCACTCATTCATTGTAAATCTGACCGCACATCCGCATTTATTACAGGCACGAATAAAACGAGACACCACATTGAATTTACAATAAATAATTAAGATATGAAGTGCAGCAAGCGGCCAAGTGACGGCTCAAATTGCTACTCTTAAGTCGTTGTCCTGCAGCTTCACGCATGCAATTTTTCGCCACATCCTTGCAGCAAATGCCATACAATACTTGCCATTTGGTTGATGCTTCCTCTAGCTGTTATGAATTGATATTAAAATGTTTGTGGCATCCATTATATTACAATGCTAACGGCGGTCATTTCTGGGAATTTTCATTTTTCATTCGTAGCCTCACTTTCTTCTTTGCTATCATCATCATCATTTCCGCCGTCTCTCTTTTTCTCTCTCATCGCTTTTAATTTCTGTGCCATTCGCTACTTGTGCACTTAATATGCCTTTGAGCGTCTATAAGTAGGCAGCAGCAACAAAAACATACGGAGTTTCGGTACTGCTTAAATCGTGTATTAATGATATTGTAAGAGAGAACTGCGCAGCTTTTCTTATTTTATTTTATTTTATTTCTTTTTTTACTTAAAAATTTATTTCTTATTTATTATTTTTCTCTGCATAATTTCGTGTATTAAATTCACTCCTTGCCATTATGAAATTTTCCGCACAATAATAACGAAGGATATTTCCTTTTGTTACTTCGCAGGCACACTTAATTTCTCTCAACCGCCGTAGTTGTTGCTGCAGTTGTTGTGGCTTATAATTATATATTTTACGCCGTGCATTTTTGATTTTTACGTTAAGAAAAATTTAAATGGCAAACAATGATTGTTGCCAGCCGTACAGGTGAATCTTAAGCGCGCTGCGATTTCTCCGTCAATTCTGCTTTCTCACTTACAATTTCGCCGTACCTTTTAATGGCCGAGTGAGCGTCCTGCATGCATCATATTAAATGAATTTTTAATGATTTATTAATGCCTTTATGCCCAGCCATGTACGTGTACACAGTGCGAGATCCAAGCGCGATGGAAATCACCAAAATAATCCCTATCTGATAACAAGGATTTCATTGATTTCAGCATGCTCATGCTGTCATGGAAAAGATAGGGAGATAAATACGAAATCCTTTCTTTATCGTTTACATGAGTGCCCATATCTGCGATTTTAATTGATTTCTCGTTAAAATTCACCGTTTTGCGGTAATTGAATGGAAATGGAATTGGGTGATGGTTGAGAGTACAGTGAAATACTAAACAGAATAAATTTAACTAAAATAATATTTTAAATGAAGTTGCAGTTAAAGTTCCTTCTCCTTTCGCTAAAACTAAACCCTTCCCAGTGTATATTTTATACTAATCTTCATATCTCCGCTTCCTCTCAGAATACGTATCGACATACTAAATCAGGAATACACCGTCTACTATGTGGGCACGAACTTGGGACGCATCTATAAAATCGTACAGTACTATCGTAACAGTGAATCGCTATCGAAATTGCTTGACATCTTCGATGTGGCACCGAACGAAGCGATACAGGTGATGGGCATCAGTCAGGCACGTAAATCGCTCTATGTTGCCACAGATCATCGCATCAAGCAAATCGATTTGGCGATGTGCAATCGACGTTATGACAATTGCTTCCGTTGTGTGCGTGATCCCTACTGCGGCTGGGACAAGGAGGCGAACACATGTCGCCCATATGAATTGGATTTGTTGCAGGTATGTAGACCATAAATGTGCGTATGTGTATGTGTGAGTTTGTTTTTGCAAATTGCTTGCGACAACAAATCGTGTGGAAGGCGCTGAGCGCAAGCGTAAATCATCAATGTTGATGCAAAGCAACCGGTTGCAAGAAACACCAGGCAGGGAGTGCGATGGCCTGAGGCGGGTACCGATATATATACCTATATAAATATGAGTATTAAGACATTGAGCTACGCGCACAGACTTCGAGTTAGACATGCAGACAGACAAATGGCAAATTGTAAAATGATTGACAAGATATGCCGGCAGCGTGTATATAAATAGGTGGCCAGATAGATGAGACAGTCGATTGGCTTGGCAGCAGTTACATGACACGCACACGTACCGTACACAGCAACAGACACACAGAACACGCGCATTTGATATTTGCATTCGTGCAATTTTCCACTGCGACACCTACATCGCTGCGCTGCATGCAAATTTCGCCGATATCCTTTTATGATTTCCTATACTTAACACACACATACAGATATCTAACACGTCCTTCAATTGCAGGATGTTGCCAACGAGACGAGTGATATTTGCGACTCCAGTGTATTGAAGAAGAAAATCATCGTCACCTATGGGCAGAGCGTGCATTTGGGTTGCTTCGTCAAAATACCTGAGGTGCTGAAGAACGAGCAGGTGACCTGGTATCATCACTCAAAGGATAAGGGACGGTGAGTGAGCTGTTTGTTGTATTTGTTGTAGTTTGTATAGGAAAAGCAATTTACTGATTCAAATCATTATTCCTCTCCTTCACAACACTTTCTTCTTATTTCATACAGCTACGAAATCAAGTACAGCCCCACCAAGTACATCGAGACCACTGAGCGCGGTTTGGTTGTGGTATCGGTGAACGAGGCGGATGGTGGTCGCTATGACTGTCATCTGGGCGGCTCCTTACTCTGTAGCTACAATATTACTGTCGATGCACACAGGTACGTGAAATAATACTTGTTATCGGCAGCGCTGTAAATAATATATATTTTACTAAAAAAATATTTTATTTCACTTTTTATTAACTTTTAAGGTGCACTCCCCCAAATAAAAGCAATGATTATCAGAAAATCTATTCGGATTGGTGTCACGAGTTCGAAAAATATAAAACTGCCATGAAGTCGTGGGAAAAGAAACAAGCGGTGAGTTCAATGTCTAACACACATATGTACAATTAAATGTATGTGTTTGTATGTAGAATATTCAGACTTTGTTAGGATAAAGCAATTTGAACAATTATGGGTTTCTAGCGAAAATAGGGAAAACAAATTAGTACACTGAGAGAAGGTAGCGTGGTAATTTCAAAATAAGAAAATAAGCGTACCAATTCTCTCTACTGTCACAATAAGTAGTTTTTATTTTATGATAACTTCTACGCCTACAGTTATGCTACAAATATTTACTCCATATATACGAGTATTATTATGTGGAGGCATAAGTTTAAACTTCACTTTTGTGAGAGAAATCAGAACAGAGCATTCATATCAGTTACCAACCTTTTGAAATAAACAGAAGTTTCTGGATTTTTCAAATTTACTAAAGTAGTCTGTATGGACTAATGTTTGTGTGTGTTCGCGTGGATTCGAAAACAAAGGGAATAAGCACCAGAAACTTTATGTTAAATTTAACAAATATACTAACTGTTCTCCTGATTAATTGAGCAGGGCACAATCAATTTGAAAAAACAAATATAGATTTTAAATTCCTTTCTTTCCACTTTACCAGATATCGTCCGAGTCTTCTAGTGATATATGATCTTTTCGAATAACATTACAATTTTGGAAAAGCTATTATTTAAAAGAAGTCAATAATAAATCTCCTAAGTGACATATATGTATTTCTGACACCTGCCACTCAGCCCTCGTACACCGATAGCTGGGAAAACTGCCCTCTCTGTTGCAGGTGTTGTAACAGACCAGACTGGCGTGTCTTTGGTGGCAACGCAGTAAATTGGCTTAGGTGTGGCTGTGACGGTCATAATTACCACTGAAAGTTGTTAGTTTTTATCGCGAATGTTTCATAAATATTTCATAAGTTCATTGTAGCTGGAAATACAAACTGCTGAATGGCACTATTCCTATATGTATGTATGACATGCCGTGCATAGTAGGCACATAATTGCAGTTGTGGGTGTCCTGGTCTACTGAATGTGCTCTTGTGGGTCAATATGCCAAAAGTACGTCAAAGCATTGAATATTTAATGTAAACTTCTTAAATATATAACAGTTATTATATACCGCTTATTTTCATAATTATGACAAATACAGTTACTTACTAATTAGATATTGTTTGTATTTTACGTTGAGTGAAAAAGAGTGCATAAAATTGATAATGATAGTATGGATTTCCTGGATACACCTGCGGGTGATCAAATGCGTTAAGTATATGCGTACACTGAGCTATTCATATATATATATCAATTTCAAGTAAATTTCATGAAATATAATGCTTTTGGGCCTTAGGTTCAATTCAATTCCCGATGTCTTTTTAGACTTCGATTGTCTATCGATTTTTATATACTCAATCGTCAGAAATCATCATCCATTTATTTGCGTCATCAGCCTTTGGGACAAAGAAAAGTCATATATATGAGATGAGATATGAAGGTGATCTAGAAAAGAGAAGCGAGCATTTTTTCGGCACGAAGTAGGCAAACCTTATTCCTTTAACATATCAAGTTTTTTTGACATCTAATTCTGTGAAGATATATGTACGAGTGTGCCACCATAACAGAAATAGTATTTACTCGGATGTAGGACACATATCCAGAAAGTAGGGGTATTGATAAAGCTATCAATTGAAAGAGTGTGTGTATATAAGTGGTGTCCTAAAAAGTCGTAAGTCTGTGAATGATGAGCAGAGCAGCGAGAGACCTCCAATTTTGACTAATCTTGAAATAACGCTCCGTTGTGATTGCAAAAAACTTGTATGATCCAGAGGGGTGATCTAGTGACGGATGCGCAGAATATACTGAATTTATGGAGGGAATACTTCTCACGCCTGCTGAATGGCAGTAAAAATGAAACAACCAGAGATGGTGAATCCAAAAATCCAATTGATAACGTTAGAAAAATTGTTCCGTTACCCGACTATGATGAGGTTCTAATAGCAATCGGCGGCTTAAACACAACAAAGCGGCGGGATTCAAAGAATTACTGGCCGAGCTATTCAAATACCGTAATGAAGATCTGATCAGGTGTTTGCATCAGCTTCTTTGCAGAATATGGTTGGAAGAAAGTATGCCCGATGGTTGGAACCTAAATGTGCTCTGCTCAATCCACAAAAATTATCTGCACCAAATTACCATGGAATAAGCCTTATTAATATATCACATGTAAGGTCCTGTCGTGCTTATTATGGGAATATGGGAAGACTAAAGCCCACCGTTAACAAACTGATTGAACCTTACCAGTGTGGCGTCAGACCTGGTAAGTCAACCATTGACCAGATATTCACCCCGCGCCAAACCTCGGAAAAGACCCTTGAAAAGAGACACGCCACCTCTTAGTCGGTTTTAAAGCAGCCTTCGACAGCACAAGAAGGAGTTGTCTTTATGCCGCTATGTCTGATAAACGTGAAAGGATATAAAAAATAAAGCATCATTTCTTATTTTATTTTTGAAAAAAAAATTTAGAAGAATTCGGTACACTCACTTACAGTACTTTCTGAATGTGCCTCATACTCGTACGAGGCCCGATTAATTTTAAACTGAATCTCATTTTTGGCACGCTCCTCGTAACTTTATATATATATATACATAGACATGGCGTATTTATATACTATTGACAACTGTATAAATTTGATATAAATGCCTACAGGTGTAATTAAAATGAAATTAAAATAACATTTATTACAAAGCAGATAAAATTGTGTCCTATGTAAATACATATATATATATATATATATTTACGGTTGCCTGCATGTTATTATTAAAGATATATAGAGCTAAGGTACCCAACTGACTACTCAAATTACAGCTAAATTTCGCTCTTCTTTCCTTATACACTTAAACTAACATCACTATAAATGTTTATTTTAATCGTATACTATATGTTTTGCTTCCGTTTTCACTCTTGCAGCAATGCTCCTCGCGTCAGAATTTCAGCAATCAACACCCCAATGATGTTTTCCGTAAAAATAATGTCTGATATCAACAAACTCAACTACAGCTAACGTCCATATAAACAGTTCATATTAGAGAGGGTCAAGGAATTTTGAAGAAATTATGTTATAACTGCACATAACGGCACCACAATAAATACATTTCGAATGTGTGTGAAATTAAGAGAACTCAAAAATGTATTTCATGGGCAAAAACTCTTGGAAACATCGCTTATACGCTGCACGAAATCCCAGCAGTTAGCGATGATCAAAAAATTACAAATATACAAATTATAACAATTGAAATGAAAATTTGGCAATAGTAAACAAAATTTGAATACACTCAAGCAATCGCATAATACCTAAAGAAACTACGTCGAAAAATACAGAGTAACAAAGTACATAATAATATATAATATTTCATTTATGATGAGATACATATTTAAAGTTAATAGCAAACAATTAAAAATAACAAAGATAAATGCATAATGAAATACAGGATTATTACACATACATACATAAATGAAATCAACGAAAGTTCCCGCATAAATAATTGCAAAAAACTCATAAATAAAATATAAAGACAGCTTCAAGCATAAATAAATCCATAAATACAGTAATAAAAAAAAAATTGAAATAAAAAACGCATAAACATAGATAAACGGAATTCAATTAAAACACACTCATGCATGCATACGCCATTATTACAACAATAAGCTTAAAAATGTGAAATAAATCAATTAAATACATTAAATACGAAATCCATTGCAATACAAAAAGCACAAAAAGCGATAAACAATTAAACAAATAATTAAATAAGTGTGTAAGAGATTCAGCTCAGCTTAGTTTTTACATACATACACACATACATACATACATACATACATGCATGCATAAATAGGCATTAAATAATAAGCTAAATACTGACAACAAAAGCAATAATTTCATACAAGCATACATACATACATACATACGTACGTACATAATGAATTATGAAGAAGCAACAGCAGCAGAAGCCATTGTGGTTGACAGCAACTAAACTTCAATAAAACACAGAACGATTTTATCGTGGAAATAAATAAAATAATACAGTGAACGATTGGCGCTGAACTGATAGCATTAAGTTACACTTTTTTATTCGTACATAATTTGTACAAAAACTACAGCAGAAATTATGAAAAAAGCAATTCGAAATTCATATTATATTATTAATTTTTTATATATTTATTTATTTTTAATTTTTTTTTTTTTTTTTTTTTGTTTTTCTTCAATTTTTATTCTTATAGTCTTTTCCAGAGAATTTTTCTCGCGTAATTTTCTAGCGATTCTTTCCTTAGAAAGTATTCCAGAGCTATTGGCCAAAACAAATTATTTTCATAATCGTTATTCCAACTTAGTTTGTAATCAGATGGCCTTTTTAAATTCGACACAAAATATTTTTTTCAAAAATTTTCAACTGATACAAGTGTTTTCAAAGTTATTTATTTTTTTTTTCAACCTCAGCTCTTTAGGAAAACGTTAAAGAGTTTAGTTAAAGCACCAAAACCCGATTTTACTCTATAATGAAATCTCTGCTTCTTCTTGCGAATCTTGCCAACAAAACTTTTTACTTATAAAATTAGTTCATTGCCTTGAAAGTTCTTTATCTGTCACCAGCGCTTCTTGAATACTCGCTTACAACTCACTCCCACTCACTCACAAAAAACACACAAAACTATTCAGTCCATTTGCATTGACTAACAGTAAAATATATTTCAAATAATCTAAAAACAATTTGTCTTAGAAGAACTAGAATTATAAGAGAAAAAAAAACATTATCTAACTCTAACTCAAATTAGCAACAAAACTAAAAACCGACAAGCAATGTGATGTTAAGTTTGAATGCATTTAACTAACTATTATCGAACAAATACTATTATATTATATCTGTGGGCATTTTTGCTATACAACTTACGATATGTTTGCTTAAAGTAAAATATAAAATAAATAAAAAATAAAATAATTTCAAGAAACATTGCAGGCGCATGTAGACTTCGAACTATTCTAGCTAAATTTATTTCCAAAAAGACCACTCTAAATACAACACATAAATGGCAAAAGCTTAAATAAATATTACAAATAAAACTCGCAGGTGAATTAAAGCAGCCGCAGTCCATAGCTCTTAAGTCTAAGTGCATTCACAGATTCCGGACGACTGTTGAGCAGAAAAGCATGTTTTTCAAGAAAATAATCTCTGCATACATTTTCCTCTCAAATTTTTCTATTAGCAGCTGCACAATGAAGATTGAGATAGACTAAAAAAAAAAAAAAGTTTAATATTTCAATTTAAAACACATTTGTTGTTGTAAAAGTTGTAAGCTACATTTCCATTTCATAACAATAATTGCATTTATTTTAGAATTTAGTAACGAAAATGTAAGAATCTTAAAATCAGTTTATTAACACTCTTGTTCATTATATTTTATAAGTTTAGCTGTATGTGTAAGTAATGTTTTCAACTTGTTCCAAAAAAACATTCGTACTTGTCGTAAGTTTTTAATGCGTTTTTAATAATAAAACATAAATATGACATAGGCAAACATAAGCACATATCTGTTCGTACATTTGTGTGTGTGTGCTTTTCTGTAGTTAAGTTAAATTTTTGATAGTGCATTGTATTTAAGAAAATGAGAAATGAAAAACACATAAATTGATGCATAAACAATAACTAAACACTATTATTATCTAACATATTTTGTCCTATTTTCATAATTTGTTTTGAGAATAGTTTTTAAGTGCTTAATTATAAGGCAAAATATTAAATAAATAAAATTATTATAAAACAAAAAAAAAATGAAACATTCTTTTAATTAACTGGTACAGGCATAAATTATTTATTAAAGAATTTCTTTTTTAAATTCACGATATATGCAAAGATATATGTATGTACTGCCTTATAGTCAACTTTCACCTTCGACTTTCGACTACGAAAACAACAGCGGAGCTTTTAAGTTCACGTTTTCTTCAATTTGTATCTGCACATAAGTGAATAAGTATAAAATTAAGTTCCATCTCTTTTTTCTTTTCTTCTACTTCGACAATTTTCCTTTTCATGCATTCTGTCTGTTGTCATAAGTGAAATTCCTTCGCTTCTCTTGCCAATCGTCGCATACCAACAAAAACAGCCGAAACAGCAGCTGTGAATTGTCAAAGAATGAGAAATTAATTAAAACACGCCTATAGGTGTATACGTAACAATACGAGTATATGTAAAAGGAGAAAACAGCAAAAAAAAACTGTAGTGGTATTGGCACAGTAGCAGTAAAAAAAGAAGCAAAGATGTATTTAGTCCCCATACACTCGTGTGCTCAGCGATTCACCAATGCTGGTAACCCAGGTAGCAAAAGCAAGCATTTAAATGAAACAATACCAAATGTTAGATGTCAAATTTTCGCATGAGTTGGGTATTCGCAGAGAAAATTTGCAATTATTTTCTTATTACGTTCTAATTAGTAGTAGGAGCAATGGCTGTTCGATGAGCTAAAGACGCGTTACTGTGCGGCTCTATATATTTTTTGTTTCCAAAACTCGTCGTGTGACTCCCTGAAACCTGTTACCACTCGACTGAGGTGGTAAAACAAAATTCGCAGAGAGAACTGAGGTCGACTGAGTTCAACAGCTGTTGCAAGCAATATTGTCTAACAGCTCGCACAATAATCAAGGACAGTGCTGACAACTTAACAAAAAAAATTGTTGAAAAATATTCAGCGCGAGTAATTTAAATGACAATTTCCCGAATTTTTCTGGTCTTAATGTATGTAGTTTTTCTAGGCTTATTTAATGAATTTAAGCTCCTGTACTGTGATGCCTTATCTGCTTTATAATACGATAACGATATACAAAATTCTATCTACTGTGAGCTACTTGTCCAAATGTCTTCTCCTGATCATTCAGATTTCCTAATAGATGTTTCCGACTAGGTCAACTTTGACGTTTTGTAACCACTGAAGCGAACTTCGAGGTAAATATATAGAAATTAAGATCCTCTGAGAATACCACGCCGCCATTCCGCAGCCGCTTGGCCGCTTTTTTCAAGCTTTTCGTCCTCTGCAAAAATATTCTAATCCAGTTTTAGTTTTTTCTGAAAAACGTTCAGCTGTTCTTAGCTTTCTTTCGTGCACCTAGCTCATGAACATGAACATGACTTTTCTAAGACCGGCCACCAAATTTATATGTAAATGCTGCTTATGTGAGAGTTGGTTGAATGACGGCCACGTACATTCATTTAACTATTTTATATAGCATAGTATTTCAGATCCCAATTTCGGGAACATTTATCTTCCTGTTTTCTTCGGTTTTAATTTAATCCCAACTTAAATTTTTTTTCTGTAGATACAGAAGAGTGAATGAAGAAGAAATCGATGTATTTTGGTTATATTTGAGAACAGCACCAGCTCAGTCTTGCTAAGATTTACACCTAGTCTATTGATCCCGGCCCTGTTGGTGTACTTCAAATTTTATTTCCAAAAGCCTTACTGGGTAGAAAATATGCGTACTTATACAGCAACTGAGTATCCCCATGCAGTGGAAGGCAAAATATGGGAAAAAGTAAAGTTCAAATATCACACAGAAGTTTATATATGCGCGTGTGTATGTTTTGTAAGAATTCTCGCGCATCAAAGCATACGAAAATTGGCTGATGTTGTTGCTTCTCCTTCCATTTCCTTACTCCAGCTATTGCTGTCAACTCCAAATAGAGTCAGCAGATAATTGTAAGAAGTACTCAAGTACGGCAACAGCCCTGCGAAGAATTGCCGGAAAACTGCTGAATTCAAGAAAACACACACAGCCAAGCATTGATAAAGTTTCGTTGAATTGCGCGTATGAGCACAGACGAGTAGAATGCATAAGGAACTATAACCGATTATATGCGTATGAAGCACACTCGTATGTGTGTATGTTAGTTTGTATTCACGGAGTTATAATTAATATTATTTTCGCGTCTGTTGCAATTGTGGTCGGTGTCGAAATGCTTAAATGTTTTAATTTCTGCCACATCCGCATTGGGAACACCTTTCATTACGCAGGCACGCAACGACATTTTGGCTCTTGAATTTGTGCTGTGACGTAGCAATGGGTATTATTGTACTCATTGTCATTCAAGAAATGCTGCCAATTAAAATATTCAAGCGAAATTGTTTGTTGTACTGTAGCAGCCGTTGTGTTGTAGCTGCCGTTGCACGCTGCCAATGAAGCCGGTATTGTCTGGTAGACTCTTTCCGCCAGTCAATACATATTACAACAACTTAAGAACTTATTGGAGAAATAAAAAAAATCGAAGGAAAGTAATTTAATTGTTATTGTTTTACTCTTTTCCTTTAGTTGTATCAATCTCGGATCATATCTTAGTGAAGGCTAAATATTAACTAGTTCTCATCAACAAAAGCCAATGTGCTGGTGTAGCTTTCGCCGAAGATGGACTTTTATAGGGAATATAATAAATGTTTTTTACTTAGAAAAAATTTTAAGTAGTTGCCTGTAATATTATGTTCCAACCTTGGATCACTGGATTGTTAAATAACAGTCCCAAGTTTTTTCCCCCTTTACTACAGACGATGACGTATTTTACAACTTAAGGGCTTCTTTCGAGCTCTCGTTAATGTGAGGATTACGAAACAGGCAGCTAAATTTAACGATATGGCAAATTCGTTTTCATTTCCTCGACCTCCTGTTAAATGTTTATTTAATATTATATAAAAGGTGGCAGTCCTACAACGTAAATCAGCTGTACTAAACATAAATAAAGTAAAAAAAATATGCTGCACCCAGAGGCTTCTTCAAACCTTTCCTCTTAAATATAAATAATCCGTCTATTGTCCATTATAGTTATTTATTATTGTAGAAAAAAATTTCTGTTTGTTTGTAAACAGAATCGATGTACCTGTTAACCAGTCCTTTGACCGCCTGTTAAATTTAAAACACCAAACCACAAATCGTAGGAGGAGCTCGGCCGAAAATCGCTTTAGCGGTTACAAAACACCAATTTTAATATTAAAACAGGTAGTTGAGCACGAAAACGTGTTTAAAGAGCAGTTAAATTTTAACAGGCACTCGATAAAATGCCCATAAAGCTCTACTATGCTCCATTAAAAAAGCACAGCTTACTCCGCTTCACTCTACACCGGTATTGTCAGTACCAAGTTCCAAA